TCTGTGCAGCCTCTCCCCGTTTTTTGGAAATCATCCTGAATATCCCAAAATTCAACCATTGCTATGAACAACATAATTCTATTCATTCATTTGTCCACCTAATTCCACAATATGAAATCACAATCACAGTTGTATTCCATTCCATTCCCAAACTTTGTATCCTTTTGTGTATATTTAACACCACTTCTTCCAAATATTCTCCATTCTTGATTATCTCATCATAGCAAGAAAATCAGCGACAAGAGCTTCTTCTACTATTTCCAATCTCAAACTGTCAACTTTAGAGTCCTGCGGGAAAGTACCTTGAACTTTTTCCTATTTCACAACTATCTGCTGCCGCTTGCTGATGTAACTTGGAAAATATAATAGCAGGTTCAACTTATTTGCTTGCAGCACCCAGTTCTGTATCACCACGGATGCTCTGAGCCCCTCAACTGATGGATTTGTTACATTCCTTATGGATATGCACAAAATTCCTGCAGCTAAGTAATGAGAGCTAACATGTGTCTTTGATCCCTGCTGCAAATTTTGTTGCCTAGCTACAGACTTTGTCCCTATCCTGACAGCAGACAGAGATTGAATCAGACTCAACCATTGGTGTCCTATTTGATCTTAATGAACTTACAACCACATTGTCCACTAAAATCTATAAAAATCACCCATTTCCATCTCAGTCATATTGTTTATCTGCTCCCCGCTTCAGCTTATCTGCTGATGAATCCCTCAACCACACCTTGTTACCTCAAGTTTTTAGCAATTCAAATGTTTACCATAACCATCCTCCAGAAATCTGAGTTTATCCAAATTTGCTGTCTGTAATCCTAAGGCCGATACACCCGATCACCTCTGTGCTTGCTGAGTTACATTAGCAGTTACTAGGTCAGCAACATCTTTTGATAGCAAAATTCTAATTTTTACTTTTGAATTACTCTGTCTTCATCTCATTCTATCTATGTAACATCCTGTGACCTCCTTGAGATCTCTACATCTCCAGCTGACTTCTTGCACAGCCGCAATATCAATTGCAAGACCACAGGCACCACTGATTTCAGCTGCCTAGCCCCTAATCTCTGGAATTTTCACCCTAAACATCACTGTCCTTTTCTTTCCATTACGAAGTTTCTTAAAACCTACCTCTTTGACAAAGCTTTCATTCAACAACCCTGACAATACTGCTGTAAAACAGTTTGGAACATTTTCCTATCTTGAAGATGCCATTTATATTTGCAAGTTATTGTTTCTAAATGTATAATTTCACATAAAATTACCTTTATTGTAATCATTGCAATTTTTAGGGTCTATTCTGTACTTTGACAGGAAGATTAGAAGGGCTGAATATTATTTAATTGGTAAAAGACTGCAGAAAGCTGCAGCACATAGGGGTTTGGAGGTCCTCATGCATGCTATTTCTCTCCTATGTCTGGTGAGTTTATTCATTGGCCAAGCCTTTTAAATGTGTCCTCAATGTACTGATCAAAACTACTTTACTCCCCTCTAGAAGTGGACACTTGCTGCTCACATTTATTAACATTATGGATCTGTTCTCCAGCTCCAGCAATGTAGGTATTCTTGGTCTAGGCAAGTTGTGCTATTTTGCTGCAACGTCTATTGGTAAACTCATTTCTGTCCTCTTCCCAAACTTGACACTATGTATTATCTGCAGTAGCAATCCCCGGACACTGCAGTCAACACTAGAATCTCTTTGTTCTACTTCATTTGAATCTGTTCGAGTCATCCAATGTTCTGTTCAAGACACTTCCAGACTTTAGCATCTGATGTAGATGCCAGCCCCAGGATATCTTGTAAAGTTTTGATGTGTCTTCTATGCCTATTTTGAGGTTGTTCCCAAACACATTCATTTCTTTAAGTTAGATGCACTCCTCCTTTCCAAATATTGAGAAATTATTTGTTGAGGGTCACACAATTAAAATTAGCTTACAAACATCTGACCATACACCAGTTACAATTTATATTATATCTCCAACAGAGTAAAGAATAATTCCCTTGAAGCTGAATACTTAACTTTGAGAATAGATGATTTGATTAATAAAAAGACAGTTGGACTTGATGAAATAGATTCCTGATACTAACAGTATTTGGATGTGACATTAGTGCATTCTGCACAAGACTCGGAATTATGGAGCAAACTAGACTAGTTGAATCACATTTTGTTCCTAAATGATTTTCTAAAAATTAGTTGAGAATACATTGTTACAAATATGAAGTTTGTAAGATTATGTTTTGGGACTGTGTCTTTAATTTGGATCTAAATGAAGTAATGAGAAGAGTCTGAATTCTGCTGAAAGCAAGCTTGGATTGTTTAAATTGTTTTAGTTAGACCATAAGTAGGAACAAAAGTCAAGGAGGGAGGTGATGGCAATGTAATGGTAGCATCACTATTATAAGTAATAGAGAATCCTCAGGCTTATTTTCCTAGGACATCGGTTCAAATCCTACCAGGGGCTGATGGTGAAATTTGAATTCAGTAACATCTGAAATTAAAAGGTAGCCTAATGGTGACCATGTATTGTCAATAAGGTTCTTGTGCTGCAGAGGTAGTGTCCCTATATCTCGGCCAGAAGGCCTGGAGTCAGGTCCCACACATCTGTGCAGGTTGATTTTTAAAAAAAATCTAGGAGCAGAGCAGGCTATTTGCTCCATCAAGTCTGCTCTGCCATTCAATTAGATCATACCTCTTGATTCCTTTGATGAGAAGTTGTAAGCTATTCACACCTGTAAACAATCAGCAAATCAGCTACGTTGACAGTGTATAAACTGAGAGTCTCCAAATCTTGGAGTTACAGAATTGTAGAACTTTACAGTATAGAAAAGGCCATTTGACCCATCATGTCTCTACTGCCTCACAAAAGAGCTATCCAGCTAGTCCCATTCTCCAGCCCTATCTCCATAGCCCTCTGAAATTGACAAAAACTGCAATTTATTTTTCCTATGGTTATACTTTAATTTGCCAATTCAATTTCATGATGGAACAGAGTTGGTTCCAGAGAATAGTTAATTAGAATTTCAACCTAGATATAGGTCCATGTGATTCACATTGCTGTGGAGATGGGCTTTGAGACAAGCAGAGACCTTGGGATATCATTGAAGGATAGCTTTCCAAGTTTTCCTAAAAATATAACTCATCTACACACCATTCTAAGAGGAACCAACACATAAGGAGGTTAGAAGTGGCAAGACTTCATTTTTTTTAATTTCAGTCATGGGATCAAGGTGTTACTTGCTATGCTAGTATTTATTACCCATTGCCCAGAGGGCAGTTAAGTCAACAATATTACTGTGGGTCTGAAGTCACACTTAGACCAGACCAGGTAAGGAAAGCAGTTTCTTTCCCTAAAAGGATACTAGTGAACCAGATGGGATTTTCCTGAATTCAAAATTCCACCATCTGCCATGGTGGGATTTGAACCCAGGTCCCTGGATTAACAGTCTAGCATTAATACCAGTAGGCCATCCCTTATTGTTATTGTTATCACCTAAGATGAGGATGAAGCTTGCACTTGAATTCAAACCATAGAAATGGTACAACACAGAAGGGGACAACACTCGGTCCATCATGTCTGTTGCAGATCCAAAGACACCCAGATGCCCTTTCTAATCCCATCTTCCTGCACATGGCGAATAACCCTGCAGTACTTAAGTTGCAGACCCCAGGTACTTTAAAAAGAGACTTGGAGGGAAAAGAACATTTGGTCTAGTGATTGAAGTGTTTACTGAATAAAGTTCAGTAGTTGAACCTTAAATGGGGGATATTTTTCTGTGGTTTAAAGGAAAACGTCTGCAGAAAGAGTTCAGTCAATGTTGCTTTTAGTTTCTGTTAAGACTAAAATTTCAAATCTGAAGTCTTGACTTGTGATCCTTTCAGCCATTCACTCAAAGTTCAGTTTTTGTCTTTTAAAAAGTTGTAATCTTTACAGGGATTGTAACAACAAGCATTCACTTATCTAAAACCCAACCATAAATACCCATTCTACCTAATAAAGCTAAACTTTCACAGCTAAAAATTCGAACCTGGTGCTCCCAAATACAGTATTCTGTGGACATTCTATGGACTGCAGTGGTTTAAAGCGGCAGATCACCTGGCAACTAAGGACAGGCAATAGAAAAATGCTGGTCAGCCAGCGATGCCCACGTCCCACAAGTGAATAAACAAAAATCATCTGCCCTTCAGGTCAGATCTAGCAGGTGTAGTTTACTCCGATTCAGAGTAAACTTTACTTGGTGAGTCTTTTGTCCCCTTTTTCTGTGTGCCTAAAGCTGCTCCCAGTGAATGAAGTGATTTGTGCAGGACCAGTTATCCGTTAGTTCTGTAGTCTGTGCAGCTTTGGTTCGGAACTGACACCATTTTTAACTTGGGGCTTTTTATCTCCAGTCTGTGCATTTGAACCGATGCCCCAACATTTAGACATTTACCCAACGTCTATATGAGTTTGAATGATGCCAATTAAAGTCTGTTTGGGGAGTTGGAAATGTTCGGTTAATGCATAAGCAGGTTTAATGATCAGTGATTATAAGTAACCACAGCTAGATGTTGAATAAAGGGACTCTGATACCTGTCAGGAGTACAGTTGTAGTATCTAAATACCACCTAATTGAAAACATAGTTATATCGCACCTGGCTCGTTTATTGATAAATTTACTTGGCTATGGGATATATTTCAGTACTGTATGTGTGCTCTGACAGCTATGTAAAGGTCTGATGAAAATATTACCTGCTGCACCATTTGGCGTCTTTAATGTCAGTTTCTGGTGGCACAGTTTAGAGTTTTATTTACCGTTACATTTTCTTGTTTGGGCGAAGCGTGGGTCAGATGTGATTATGAAACTAACGCAGTCCTTTTACTGGGGAGCATGTACTTTTGCGTTATTATAGCAGAGCCTTGTTTGAAAGTTGCAGCTGTCTCTGGTGGAAGTGGCGCATTGTTTTCCTGTCAAGTGTTCTTTGCTGCCGGTTGTGGTTAAACTGATTGTTTGTCTTTCAGGTGGACCCTGAGCCACTGCGTGGACGATGCTTTCACCAGCAAAGAGAACATCACGTTTGCTGCCGGTCATTGACAGACAAGAACTGAACTCCTAAGGCTTGTTTCCGGGGCAGCCCTTGTCCTTCTGGCGCCTGGGGAAATGAGGTGAATGTCATGGGGTGTTGTGTCAAGTGTAGGAAGTTCCTGTCTAGGTCAGCATCTCAGCAGGTGGGTGCCAAAGAGCAGCTGCTGAGCTGGATGGGATACCTGTGGAAACCCCACACTAATGTCAAACACTCCTGCTTCAACTCCAGACTGGAGATCACAGGAATTACTAGATTTCTGAACAGTGAGCACTCAAACTGCGCCTTTCTTTTTAAGAACAAGTTCAACTGTTCCAATAAAATCTAGTGCTGCCTTAGAAAAGCTGGGAAGGACTCTTAATCCCAACTAAGGTGCAAATCTGGTGCTTTAACATCTACGTGAGTGCTTTTAATCAAGTCCCTTCGCTCTGAAACTGTTTTCACTTGAAGTGTTTCACAACTATGCGAGTGCATGACAAGCTTGTTCCCTATTATTTATCAAAAACGATAAACCCAGCGGGATTAGGGGAGGAAGGGACAGAGATAACTTTCACCAAATTCACAATGGACAAACACAGCCCTCGGTTAATGAATTCACCCTTCACATAACTCCTGTAAACAAATAAAATACGGCTTATCTGGAAGTGTCGTTGCCAATATTTACACTCCATCCAACATTACTCAAACCTGATCATTTCTATTAAGTCCAGCTTTGGAAAATTGCTGTGTCCAATACTGGATTCTCAGCCTCGCGAGGCTACACTTCGGCGTCAGTAGACATTCTGGAAACAGGATCTGAAAGGCTTTGGGATTTTCCACAATAGCCACCTCCCTACTCAGTTGCTGACCCGCTGTTCATTGAGACAGTGTTAGGGTGGAGTAGGCAGCACTACATAAGCTCCTGTAGCCTACATTTCTGCAACATTCATGCTGACTTATAGAGTTAATGTGGAATCTGACCAGCCCAGGGAGTAGTTGGGGGGAGAAGTAGAAAAGCATTTAAGGGGAAACTGGATCAGCATTTGAGCAACAGGGGAATGGGGGTTATGTTGAGTGAGTTAGATAAGGAAACATGGGAGAACAAGAGGAAAATGATCAACAGGATGGTCAGGTTGAGAGGTCATGACGGCATAAATACAGGTTAACGGGAATGATCTATCTATGACAGAGACATGATTACAAGATCAAAACAGAGAAATAAATATTCATGGGTATGTGACATTTCAAAAGGAGCTTGGAAGAGTGAGAGGAGGGTCTATTGAAACATACAGGATTCTTCAAGGACTGGACAGGACAGATGGGGAATAGTTGTTTCCCCTTCTGGCAGAGTCGAGGACCAGAGGGTATAATCTCAGAATAAGGGATTGCATATTTCAGACACAGATGGAGAAATTTCTTCTCTCAGAGGATAATGAATCTGTGAATTTTTACCACAGAGGGCTATTGAAGCTGGGTCACCAACTCTGTTCAAGATCGCGATAGATTTCTCATCAGTAAGAGAACCAAGGGTCAAGGGATAAGGCAGGAAAGTAGAGTTGAGGATTATAAAACCACAAGACATTAGAGCAGAAGTGGGCCGTTCAGCCCACTGAGTCTGCTCTGCCATTAGATGAGATTGTGACTGATATGCTTGAAACATTAGCTTGCTCTCTCTCCATGGATGCTGTCTAACTCGCTGTGATTTTGCAGAACACCTACGCTTGGTTCGCACTAAACAACTGCACCTCCCAGTCGCGAACCATTTCAACTCCCCCTCCCATTCTGCAGACGACATGTCCATCCTGGGCCTCCTGCAGTGCCACAATGATGCTACCTGAAGGTTGCAGGAACAGCAACTCCTATTCCGCTTGGGAACCCTGCAGCCCAATGGTATCAATGTGGACTTCACAAGCTTCAAAATCTCCCCTCCCCCTACCGCATCCCAAAACCAGCCCAGCTCGTCCCCGCCTCCCTAACCTGTCCTTCCTCCCACCTATCTCCTCCTTCCACCTCAAGCCGCACCCCCATCTCCTACCTACTAACCTCATCCCGCCCCTTTGACCTGTCCGTCCTCCCTGGACTGACCTATCTCCTCCCTACCTCCCCACCTACACTCTCACCTCTTTGACCGGTCTGTCTCCTCTCCACCTATCTTCTCCTCTATCCATCTTCTATCCGCCTCCCCCTCTCTCCCTATTTATTTCAGCATCCCTTTCCCCTCCCCCATTTCTGAAGAAGGGTCTAGGCCCGAAACGTCAGCCTTCCTGCTCCTCTCATGCTGCTTGGCCTGCTGTGTTCATCCAGCTCTACACCTTGTTATCTCAGATTCTCCAGCATCTGCAGTTCCTACTATCTCTGAAGTGATTTTCAGTATTTTTGTTTTCAGTACAGACTCCAGCAGCTACAGTAATTTGTCCCTACATGATAATCCTTAACTCCACTTTCCTGGTAAAGAATTCCATACATTCACTATCTGCAGAGAAGAAAGTCCTCCTCACCTTTGTTTTAAATGCGCAATCCCTTATTCTGAGATGATGCCCTCTGGTCCTAGACCCTCCCATAAGGGAGAACAACCTTTCTGCATCTCCCCTGTCAAGTCCTCTAAGAATCCTGTAACCTCTCATTCTCCTGATCTTCAATGAATACAAACTCAACCTACTCAACATCTTCTCATAAGACTGTCCACCAGACCCAGGATCAATCTAGTGAACCTTCCTCTGGACTGCATTCAATGCTAGTATATCTTTCTTCAGATAAGGAGACCAGAACAGTTTGCAGTATTTACATGTGGACTAAGTAATTTTAGCAAGACTTCCCTAGTTCTATACTTCATTCTCTTTGAAATAAAGGCCAACATTCCATTTTCCTTCCCTATTGTCTGCTGAATTTGGATGCTAGCTTTATGTGATTCATCAATGAGGACTCCCAAATCTCTCTGTTCTGTAGCTTTCTGCCGTCTTTTTCAATTTAAGTAATATTCAGCTCCTGTATTCTTCCTGCCAAAGTGCATAAGCTCATTTTCCAACACTATAGTCCATCTGCCAAATTTTTGCCCACTCACATAACCTGTCTATTATCTCTTTGCAGGCTGTGTCATCCTCACCATTTGCCTTCTTACATATTCTTGTGTCATCCACAAACATGGCTATAGCACATTCACTTCCCTCATCCAAGTCATCACTGTATATTGTAAATGATTGTGGCCCCAGCACTGATCCCTGTGGCACTCCTCTAGTTACAGGTTGCCATACAGAAAACGCCCTCTTATCCCAACTCTGTCTTCTATTAGTTTTTCTCTATCTATGCCAATGCTGACTACATACAAGACAAGAAACAGCCTGCAAGAGTTCATTCAACGATAGGATCCCATATTTATTAACTGCTGTGTTAATCTGTCCTGTCAATTTCAAAGTTTAAAATAGAGACAGGTCTCTCTCTCCTTGTAACCCTTTCAATATTTTGCCATTTAAAATGTATTATCTTCCTCATTCAACTGAAGGATGGAGACAGTGAGCAGAGTACAAAAGGATTAATTAAGTGATACCAAGGGAATGAGTCTGTGCCCATTAGGCCATAATAAGACAATAAGAAATAGGAAAAGAAGTGGGCTATTCAGCCCCTGCAGCCTGCTCTGTCATTCAATAGGATCTGACATTCCTCAAGTCCACTTTCCTGCCCTTTCCCATAACCTTTGATTCCTTTACTGATCAAGAATCTATCTTAGCCTTAAATATATACAAGGACTTTTTCCCCCACTGCTCTCTGTGGTGAGGAGTTCAAAGACTCACAATCCTCGGAGAAGAAATTCCATCCTACCTGAATTCCATTTGCCACTTTTCTGCCCACCTGACCATTCCAATGTTGGAGATAGTAGGAACTGCAGATGCTGGAGAATCCGAGACAACAAGGTGCAGGGCTGGATGAACACAGCAGGCCAAACAGCATCATAGGAGCAGAGAGGCTGACGTTTCGGGCCTAGACCCTTCATCAGAAAAGGGGGAGGGGAAGGGGGTTCCGAAATAAATAGGGAGACAGTGGGAGGCGGATAGAAGAGGGATAGAGGAGAGGATAGGTGGAGAGGAAACAAACAGGTCGAAGAGGCAGGGATGGAGCCAGTAAAGGTGAGTGTAGGTAGGGAGTTACGAAGGGGATAGGTCAGTCCAGGGAGGACAGACGGGTCAAGGGGGCGGGATGAGGTTGGTCAGTAGGAGATGGAGGTGCGGCTTGAGGTGGGAGGAGGGTATAGGTGGGAGGAAGAACAGGTTAGGGAGGCAGGGACGAGCTGGACTGGTTTTGGGATGCGGTAGGGGGAGGGGAGATTTTGAAACTTGTGAAATCCACATTGATATCATTGGGCTGCAGGGTTCCCAAGCGGATACCATTGGGCTCCTGCAGCCTCCTATTTTCTTCCTATCAATTGCAGTCAACTTACATCGCATCCAAGAGTGATCTTCACGGCCCTAGACTTACATTTAAATAGCAATGAACAGCAAGAAATCCCGACAAAAACCGAAAGAACTGCGGATGCCATAAATTAGGAACAAAAACAGAAGTTGGTGGAAAAGCTCAGCAGGTCAGGCAGCATCTGTGAAGAAAAAAATCAGAGTTAACATTTCGGGTCCGGTGACCCTCTGTTTTTGTGCAAGAAATCCAGTATTGATCCCTGCAGAACCCCACTAAAAACAGCTACACATCACAAAAAAAGACCATAACTCTTCAATTCCTGCCACAAAGCCAACTTTGGATCTAACTTGTTTCTTTTCTTTACACTGCATAAGCCTTTAAATGCAAACACTGACAGCTACACAGGAGAATGGATAAAATCGAGGACACAGCCCAGTATTTGATCCTATGCACTGCAGAAAAAGTTTAATTTTTCCACAGTGAATGCTGATTTCGCCAAGTTGCTTTCTTCTGGACAATAATAAAGTTCCATTCATTGTCTGGTGCACCTTGTTTGCTTTTACTGATAATTTTCACTGAAGTGAAAAGCATTGTTTATTTCAGAAGAATTTGATTCCAGGACTTCACAGCAGTCAATACAAAGACCTTGTCCACATCTGTACATGAGTTTGATGGCAGCATTATCATCATCAAGATAAGACTCATTTCACACCATGAAACAGCTCAGTGATGGTTTAGTTAATAAATAGTATACTCAGAATCAATGAACAAGTACTGTTGGACAGTATGCCTGTATCCATATATCAGTTTGTTCGAACTGTTTTCTGACATTTGGGAATGTTTGGGAATAACTTGGACTCAGACTTGTAATGCTATCTGTCAGTAGGAGTTGTAAGATGTATCTCGTTACCATTAGTTATTTAATGCGAAAGTATAGTATTTTCTCTTTGATTCTGAGTTAGTTGCTGTGAAGTATCATCAAATCATACAGCACAGGAGAGACCCTTTGTCCAAAAATACACTTACCTGTACTAGGGCCATAGCCTTGAAGTGCTCATCCAAGTACTTCTGAAAGATTGGGAGGTTACCTGCCTCATCTATCCTCCCAGGCAGTGCATTCCAGATCCCGCCACCCTCTGGGTAAAAAGATTTTTCCTCAAAGCCCCTCTAAAAAGTAATGTTGATTTATGTTGACTTCAGTTTGTTTTTTAAAATGTGAAATTTTGTCCTTTTGTCATTTCCATTGGTCATTTAGACAAGT